AAACACCTGACTGTCTGGTAGTCTGAAATTTCTTCTCCTCCTCCAACTATCTTCCCAAAACTTCCAGTATGTGATTGATCCAAGCTGCAGCAAAATCAGCAAATATAAAAAGATGCCAGTATGCAAACCAGCCCACTACGTTACTTCATTAGATAACATTCTTTCTTTATTTTGTGCATTCTCTATTTAGATCATAAACTCATCGGAATAAGAGCTCTCTTTTCAGATTGTATTTTATATGCTTCCCACATTGCTGACTCTATAAGCAACTGTACAGTTGTTTGTAAAATGTCATTTTGTAGATGACTTTGAGGAATAGCAATAAGCTGTCTGTGAAGAGGGAGGGGGAAGACAAGTCAAACCATTTAATTACTCACCACGTCTAAAGCAGAAAATTCAAAAGATCTCATTATAACTGAATTGTTTATGATGCAGAATAACTACTGAAACACAGAGAATTATGTAATTAAGGAATGAAGCATAGAGGATGCTCTATGCACATGTGAAATTAGGAAATACTCCCAACAACACAGATTTTCACACATGCAAAGAAAACTAAGATATGGAGGCAAGGCTTTCCTTGTGTTGCTTTCTTCCCAGTTTAAAAGGTTAGTTAGAAAGTCACCCAGTTTCACCTTCAGTACCTTTTCTTAGAGCAAGATATAGTTTGAGGGGAAGAAAGAGACAAGGCTTTTCGAGATTACAGCATATCGGACAAGAGCAAGTTAGTTTTACATGAACGACAAAATTAAAAACAAAAAAAAAAATCACAAGGAGCTTCAGTCTGAACTTAACAAGGTCCTCCCACTGCGAATGATAACCAGTGCCACATGTACAGCCAGGTTCCAAAGGGTCAGAAGCTCCACCGACTGTCTCGATTCTAACACAGTCAGGGACATGCTCTAAAATAGTAAGTCTGAGGCAATCCATTTAACACGTTTTACCTAATTACCGCAAATACAGATTTTTCGGAAAGCTATTTTTGTCAGTTTAGAAGCTGAGCAAATGCAGATTTTTCAGAAAGCTATTTTTGTCAGTTCAGAAGCTGAGAGACGTCAGGGGGAAAAAAAGTACGTTGGGATACTGTTGTCATTAAGAGGTCAACAGCAAAAAATCTGAATAAAGACAGTTTTACCTGATGAACAACTGCACGTTTTTTTTCCGTAGCAGCACTTCACAGGACGCATCCAAAACAACAGCTCACCAAGTTTCCTACTTGGGGCAGTTCCCGACAGCTTGCGCTTCTGAAGCGTTAAGCTGGCGACCCGCTAGCAGTGCGCGTAAAGAGCAGCACGTAGGCATCACCCAGGCGTGGAGCCCACGTCCACTTTCAAATCCCTTTATGCTCCGCTATGGGGAGCATAAGGACTCGGTCAGCCCACCCCTCTTCTCCCCCTTCTTTTCTTTTTCAATAGA